ACCCCTTTTTCATTTCTAAAATGCGCGTATCATCTAATTAACCCTAAAATGATGATAATTTCTCAAAGGAATGAATTAAAGATGTATATGATGACATATCAACCAATGAGACAATGAAATGACCTAAAACAACCTTTAATATAGAGGCTAAATACCACCATTTTTGGTGTATCAATCACAATGGTCCCCGAATGGTAAGAATGGTCCTAAAATGTGGATTCTATTGTCGACCATATTCAGAGACTACAACGGGCATGCTAAGTCTTATGTTGCTTGCCACCAATTAGGGGTGCTACCTAGAGGATGAGATGCCTCAATCTTGATTCTTCCCGTTGAAGTCTTCGATGTTGGAGTAGTGACTTCATGGGACCTTTTTACCCTCTTTTGGGAACCAGTATATCCAAGACATAGTTTACTATGTTTCAAAATAGGCAGATATGAAGGCCCTCCCACGAACAACGTCGGGCCAATGAGAATAGGTTTGGTTGAGCCGGTTTGGGGAACTAGAATAAAAGTAAAATGAATATCTTGAGAAAATTAATTTTTGGGTTAATAACCTAGTTTGGCCCAAAGTTTGGCGTAAGTGTAAGTTTTGGCCCAATTTTTTGAATAAGACAGTTGTGGCCTACTTTTCAAATTATTGGACAAATTTGGCCCGGGTTTTGAATTTACAGTCAAAATTGATGATTTTTTCGTTAGTGACTCAACATCCGGTGCTGACTAGGATCGTACACGTCTATCATTTATTAAATTATAAAAATTAGAACTAATTAATTATATGAGAAAATTTCCCAAAGACCTTTTTGGTTTTTCCACTCTCTCTTCGGGCAAATCCAAAATTGCCAAAACCCACTCGCCTCCGCCGTGACATATGGTGCCCTTCGCCACCCACCTCCTCCCTCTCTCGATGGCCTCGCCGGCTCCTTCGCCATCACCTCCTCCCTCTCTCTAGTCGATAATCGAGCCCTCAAAAAACTTGACATCGCCGCCATCATGACCTGGAGATCCAATAGCAGAGTTAAGGAACCCAGATAGAGCTACCGCCCTATTTCAACTCAGATCTGGTGCAGAGGAAGCAAAAATCGGCGAATGAGAAATTTGAAGGGCGATGGGGTTGAATAGGAGAGGCGACAGGCTCATCGGAGAGAGTTGAAGGGCGATTAGGTTGTAGCAGCGACGGAGGGTTTGGTAGGTCTTCTGGCTTTCTGAAAGTGTTCAAATCGGCGGAATAGCATGCCGGGCTCGGAAAGGCAGAGCTCGCTTCTGCTTTTCTGATGAAAGAGAGAGAGGTTTGAACTGGCGGAGATCGGCGAGGGCAAGCCGCTGAGGGACGATGAGGTAAGAGAAGGTGATTGGGATGATGAAGGCGGTGTCGCCAGGAGCGGCAACGAGGGAGTTGTCGACGGGGATGAAGAAAGTGGCGGAGAGAGGAAGGACTAAGGAGTCACGGAGGAGAGGGATTAAGAAGCGGCGGTAGGGTTCCAGAGGAAAATCTCCTCTTTGTTTCTTAAGTTTTATTTTTATTTTCATTTTCACTTTCATTTTTTAGAATTCTTAGCATAAATAAATTATGTGGATATGATGTGGAAGCCATGTCGATGCCACCTTAGCAACGAATGTTGAGTCACTGACGGATTAAATGTTTGACCGTCAAGACTAACGGTCAACTTACATTTTGGGCCAAATTTGTCCAATAATTTGAAAAGTAGGCCATAACTGTCTTATTCGAAAAATCGGGCCAAAACTGACACTTACTCTAAACTTCAGGCCAAACTAGGGTTTAACCCTTAATTTTTTTCAGGATAGTAAACTGTTTGTAGGGATGTCAATAGGTTTGGTTGAGCCGTTTTCATATATAGAATTTTTGAACTACATTTTTAAAATTATAACCATCTTCCCAATCAAATATTTGCGAGGATGTAATATGTCATACCAAAACCAACTAGTTTTCAATTCGGGAAAAATACAACACACGTTCACCAAACAATCATGTGTATAGTGCTTTATATAGTCTAAAACATTTCTTCTTATGTCAATGTAAATGAAGTTTTTTCTCACTTTTTTTTTTGTAAATGGAGAGAAAATGTACAAGATTTAGGGTCTAAGAGATAAATATAATATTGTAGAGATATGGATGAACGAAGTGTTAAAATGGACGAGTTTGGAGAATAGTTATAACATATATATTTTTGTAAGGGTGATATAAGTTTACTTTTTAGGTACTACTTAACGAATTTCGAATACTTGACCTCAAAGTTCTTAACTAATGGTATTACTATTACTAACAGACCAACCCCTTGTTCGTAATTATAACACATATTAAAATGTGTTTGGTGCGAATACTTAAAATACTAAAACTACACCCAATCCATTACCCTCTTTATTATGGATTTGAAAAAAATATACCAAAAAATAAGGCTTAATTGCAAGTTTGGTCACTCGAATTGCTACAAAATTTCATGTTTGGTCACTCGAATTGATTTATTCCATTCGTAGTCACTTAAATTAGTTTAACAGTCCAACTTTGGTCACTCTCCGTTAACCTCCGTCAAACTCCGTTAGTACCGTCAGTTAACTGCTGACGTGGCTAACAGAGGTGCTTAGTCATCCTATTTTAACCAAAAAAAATAAAAAAAAATGCCACATCATTAAACCCTTAATATTTTAAAAGTCCACCCAAACGCAATCAACCCCTGACCCGAGCCGAACCCGTGAACCGACCCATTCACCTGTTCCCCCTCTCCTTCCCCCCTCTTCTTCCCCAGCTCCGACCCCATTCAATCTCCCAAACCCTATTATTGACGACGACGCCTTGGTGATTAGAGACCAAATTAAGAATGCTCACCGTCCTGAACTCATCGAAATTCACCATCCCGTCGCCGTCGGCATCGACTCTCCGGATCATCTCCTTGCAGGCTTCCATCCGCTTCCCTTCCTTCAATCCCAGCGACGACAGCACCGACCCCAGCTCCTCCACCGTGATCATCCCGTCCCGATCCCTGTCGAACACCTCGAACGCATCTCTCAATTCATCTCCTCCGACGCCACCGCTGTCAATTTTGATTTCCTCTGCCTCCAGATCTGACGCCCTCGCCTCTCCCTCCCGATCCCTGTCGAGCTCACAATCGCCGGCCTCGCGCAGACCACCTCGAGCAACATAACCCCAAAAGAGTAAACGTCCGATTTATCGGTGAGCTGAAACGTCCGGAAGAATTCCGGGTCGAGGTACCCGAAGCTCCCTTTCAGCGCCATGCTGTGGTGGTCCGGGTCGGGCAGACCCGCCTGAGAGAGCCCGAAATCGGCCACCTTCGCGACGAAATTCTCGTCGAGCAGGATGTTCGTCGACTTGACGTCCCTGTGAATGATCCCCCCGTCGGATCCGGTGTGAAGATAGTGCTGGCCTTTGGCCGACCCGATGCAGATCTCGAGCCTCTGCTTCCAATTCAGCATCGTGGTGGTGGAAGCCACGGAGAAGGGAGGAGAAGTAGAACTGGAATCATCATCGTCGGATCTGTAGAGATGGTCTCTGAGGGTTCCGTTTTTCATGAACTCGTAGACGAAGATCATCTCGGCGCCGTCGTCGCAGTACCCGATTAAGGAGACGAGGTGGCGGATCTTGGAGGGAGAAGTGAATTGATTCTCTGACGCCCTCGCCTCTCCCTCTCCGCCAGCGGCCATGTTTCTACATAGGATTTTGAACTCCTCGAAGTCAATCAGCCCGTCGCCGTTGGAATCCACCTTCATCACCATCTCCTCCACCTCCGCCTCGGTCACAGAGATCCGGGTGTTCTTGGCCATCTCGTTGGAGCCGTAGCTCTGGTTGAGGTTGCCGCGGAGCTCTGGTTGGGGTCGGAGATGGGGAAGAAGAAGGGGGAAGGAGAGGGGGAACAGGTGAATGGGTCGGTTCAAAGGTTCGGCTCGGGTCAGGGGTTGATTGGGTTTGGGTCGACTTTTAAAATATTCAGGGTTTAATGATGTGACATTTTTTTTTTATTTTTTTTGGTTAAAATAGGATGACTAAGCACCTCTGTTAGCCACGTCAGCAGTTAACTGACGGTACTAACGGAGTTTGACGGAGGTTAACGGAGAGTGACCAAAGTTGGACTGTTAAACTAATTTAAGTGACTACGAATGGAATAAATCAATTCGAGTGACCAAACATGAAATTTTGTAGCAATTCGAGTGACCAAACTTGCAATTAAGCCCAAAAAATAATATCAATTGACCCATAGAATGAATTTGAATTTGGTTGGGCTACCATGATGGTTATTTTGCCATCCCTAAACTTAGGGGTGGAAATCGGTACGGTATCGGTATCCCAATACCAAATACCGAAATCCCGAATACCGAATTACACCCTAAAGTCAATCCCAATCCCAATCCCTAAATAATTTCGGTATCCCAATCCCAATCCCTAAATATTTCGGTATCCCAATCGGTACTTCGGTATCCCAATCGGTATTATCAAATACGAAATTAATTACCTTTGCAATTAATAATTAAATATATAAATTAGATTTTATTGTTTAATTTACGGGAAAAAGACTAAGCAAAGAGTTTTGAATTATGATATTATTATGGAGAGTGGAGGAGAGGACACATCTCAAGTTCTTGTTATTGATAATCTTTAATTTGACGAATTAGAGGTTGAGCGACGACTGTTAATAATGATGGAATGATCTGTGTATAATTAAATGACACTTTTGGTGGTTGAGGGTCATTTAGTAGTAAATGAGAGAGTTTAGTTGAGAGGATAAAATACAAACTAGCTTATATTTCGGTATTGATCGGTATTTCGGTATTATCCCGATCCCAATCCCGTAATCCCTAATACCGAATAACAATTGAAATTCAATCCCAATCCCAATCCCAAGAAATAATACGTGTATTCGGTAATACCAAATATAGACAAATTCGGTACGGTATTCGGTATATCCCAAATACAGGTACCAAACTTCCAGCCCTACCTAAACTGTTTGTGGTTTGTGTGTTGTTTGTTTGGATTCACCCGCAAGGAAGGAGGCGAAGGAATTTACGGGAGGGGACTGTGAGGAGAGGAGATAGATTGGATAGCTAGACAGACAGATAGGTCAATTTCGAGGAAAGAGAAAGAGGGAGCGAGAGAGTGCGTGGGTGTCTCTGTGTTTCTGCTCTCTTTCCTTCTCCCTCCCTGTTTATCTGTCTCGTTCCTCATTTCTGTCTTTCCGCGGCTCTCTGCAAATTTCAATTTCAGCTTCCCCGAATTCCCTCCGCAGATCTCTCTTTCTCTTTCTTATCTCTGATCCTCCTCGTCGCCGGCGATGGGTTTGTGGGAAGCTCTTCTCAATTGGCTCCGCAGGTTCGCTTCGCTTCTCTTCTCAATTCCCTTTCTTTCCCTATTCTTTCCCCTCCTAAACACTACTATCTGTTTATTGCTCTCTCTATATTTAGCTGTTTGCCATGCTTGGTGGTAGAATTCCGGTCGTTTCTAGTTTCAATTGGGGTTCCTTAATTTGATTTAGGGATGGAGGTAAATGTAGCTTATGGCTTAGTTTTGAGCTCTGCTACGTGGGTTGGAGGTTCCAATTGAGAGGAAATGGGGGAGTGATTGAATTCCCTGAAGCTTTCATGGTCATGTTTAGCTGAGTAATTCTGGCCAGGAATTCCTATGATTTTCTGCTCAGTATTTCTTCTCTTTTCCAAGATTGGAACTGGGAGGAGTATGATTGTTACTGTTGGGCAATAATTTGGATTACATGTAGTCTGGACGATATGACATCTTGATTTGGTTGGTCAGGATGCTCTATATTCTGTATATAGTCGTGCAGTTAAGCTGGGAAAATCCTGATTACTTTGATACGTGTTCATGGATTTAATGACATCAAGCTTCAAGTAGGTAGACAAGTTTGAAAAGGGGACAACTTTATTCTATGTATGCTGGAAGCTGGATTTTTGGCTTCCCAGTGGAACATTCCTGGTTTGCTAAATCTCAGCTGGGGGGAAATGCAGCTTGGCAGTATGAAAGAGTGACTAGTTTATATTAGGTAACAATTAAGTTTTAGGAACTTCAGTTGATAAGTGTGGTGGCTGGAATAAGGAGAAGAATTATAGTTAATGGAACATGCCGGGTGGTTTAGTTTGTTATGTTGGAAACTGCTAACATGCCATGCCGTGGGAACTTTGTTAACAATTCATCTTTAGTTTTGCATATTCAAGCTCTAACTTTGATTGTGTTATGTGATTGCAGTCTCTTTTTCAAACAGGAGATGGAGCTGTCCCTAATAGGGCTTCAGAATGCTGGAAAAACTTCTCTTGTTAATGTCGTTGCTGTAAGTATAGTGGTTCATGTATCATTTAATACTGTTTCTTTTCAGGCAGTCCCCATTGTCCGGTTGTTCTGTCTTGATGCTGACTTCTTTCTTGTGATTTAAGACTGGTGGATATAGTGAAGACATGATCCCAACGGTGAGTTCCAATTAGAACTTTTATTCCCAATTTTCACTTTACTTCTGCTGAACCTCCTTGCTGAGTCAGTAATTGTAGAAGTTCCTAGGGACTCTTTATGTTCTGATGATGAACTAATAACAGCATGTTGTTTGGGCCTTCAGGTGGGATTCAACATGAGGAAAGTAACAAAAGGCAACGTCACCATAAAGCTGTGGGATCTTGGTGGTCAACCTAGGTTCCGCAGTATGTGGGAGCGATATTGCCGTGCAGTCTCAGCGATTGTGTAAGAAAACTGCTCTCAAGTAGCTTGCAGACCTGTGGTACATATGAGTTTGACTTAGTTTCTTATGATTCCATCATCCTTCTAGTTGATAAATTTCGATTAGTAGGTTGTTGTCCCCAAGTGGCTTTAGATGCATCCTCTTTCCTAATGATTGCTCTGGAAGATACAGTTTGATATTGGTTTAGCTTCCCATTGGAAAAAAGTTTAGGTTTGTTTCCGCATGTTGAACTACAGGAAAGTTCAAACCTGTCAACTTGCATTTCACTGTAATTGGTACCTTTTACCATTTGCAAAAGTTAAACAAATTGAAATCGACCTATTTTTGTTTGTTTGCAAACTTTGGCATTTACCTGTGAGTTCACAATTCCCATGAGCAGACAATTGATTGTGTACAACAGCAAGCATGCTGACATATTTTTGTTTGGTCTGATATCTATGGAATTCAAGCTTGCATCTTGTAGGCAAACATGCCATTGTTTGTGTCGGTCTGTGACTTGTTACTCTTGGCCCTTCTAGTTGTTTAATTGCTGTCATCATCTCAGCTCAGGGATGCTTGGCACTTAATGGTCCTATTATGGTCATTCAATCAAATTTTGACAGTTTCAATGCTTCTGCCAACAAGTGGTTTTGTAATTTTTATATTCTCATTAGTTGATTAATTATTTATTTGTTATTATTCTAATGGTATGGTGTAGATAATGGGTTACCTAGTGCTTAATGGTGATGCACGTTTTGTTGTTGACTTTAGGTATGTGGTTGATGCTGCTGATCATGATAACTTGAGCATCTCAAGGAGTGAGCTGCATGACTTGCTGAGCAAACCATCCCTCAGTGGCATCCCGTTATTGGTCCTTGGAAACAAGATTGACAAGTCAGGAGCTCTTTCTAAGCAGGCTTTGACTGATGAGATGTAACATGCAGCTCCCTTTCAGACTTTCATCCTCCGAATCGTTTTTTTGCAACGTCATAGTTTTCGACTTCTCAATTTTCAAAATTTATTTCCTTTTTTGGCAGGGGGCTGAAGTCGATAACTGACAGGGAAGTTTGCTGCTTCATGATCTCATGCAAAAATTCGACCAACATTGATTCTGTGATCGATTGGCTTGTCAAGCATTCCAAGTCGAAGAATTAATAAAAGGGCAATTGCCTGTCAGCTTGTTCATCAAGGCTTTTATGGTGTGTGTGAGGTAATTGAAGATGCAAAGGGATATGGGGCTGTGTATCATTCGCTTGGCGGCAACCTAAGTTTACATCTATTGTTTTCGTTAGTTCCTTCTCTTCTTCTTCTTTTGGCCGTCATTATGGGGTTGTTTGTCTGAGATGTTCATGGGTGTATATTAGATTATATACATATTCTTGTCTGATTTGTAAGGATATATATGGTTTCTTCTGTGTATTGTCATTTCATAAGCCTTGCAACCGGTTGACAAAGAATGTTGTGTTCTCAGTTCATAACTCGCAAGGCAGGCAGCGACCTATTATTCACCAGTTATAAGTACTTGTGAAGTGTAGAGGTTTCGCATGTCGACAGCAGCTGTTATCTTCTGAGTTTCACATGACACTCTTCTCAAGGAAAACGTGGTCAACGGTGAAGGTAGGGCAATAGCCCCTCAACCTTTGAAATATAGGTAATAGGTAAAATTGACAAGTAAATTTTCTACATATTAAGAATAGCTAGTAATAGTTAGAAAGGTTTTAGCTCCTCTCATAATTTCAAAAAATTCAAATTAGCTTTCGTATTTAAATTTCTTACTCTGTCGTGGTTAGCCCTTATTTAGATTTCTCTCTACCATTGAATGTGATGGTGGTTGGTGTAGAGCCTGTTGTCTTCTATTTTTTTTTTTTTACGAACATCTTCTACTTTAATATAAACCGAAGCAGTCAAAGAGTAAATTTCACACAATAGGCGAATCCCATATCGACAAAGCACGGAGAGAGATTTATGGTGCATAAGTAAGAAACTGACATTAACCGACAATAAGTGTTTTGGGGGGAAATGAATGAGTTCTTATAAGAACTCCAAAGTTAACCGTTCTCACTGTGGAGTACAACAAAGATGAGTGACCTTATTGGAAGTCACCTTGAATTGCACCCCAAATTAAAAATCGTGAACGTCTAGACACAAAGCGGACAATATCTTCTTCAGGAACAATGTAGTCAAAAGCGAGTTTCTAAGTAGAAACGTTATGGTGATCTAGAAGCGTAAAATCGTAAGTTTTTAAGTTTTAAAGCGAAGTTTTTATCTACATAAATTGTAAAATTTTTAAGTTTTAAAACGCGATTTTGATTTTATTGATTAGGAAAAGGTTCGGGATGTTACAGTGAAGATAATTAAGATAATTAAATAAATGCATGTAAATATGACAACAGCAAGAAAAAAGTAGAGAGAGAAAAGACACAATAAAAGAGAGGAATAGTTCTCAGTTATCATCCTTAGCAATGAAGTTCTTTATTTTTATATACATTTACATAACTTCTACCATTTATATAGTCAATCTATATGAATGTGAGGTTACGAGCAATGAAGAAAATTCGGGAAAATTCATTTACACTATCAATGTAAAGAGTGACATAGTTTTTAATATAGCATCTAATATATAATCTAATTTAGTATTCATGGAATATATCCACACTAGTCTATTATTTTATAAAACTATTGCTTAGATATCTATTAATGTAAAATATATATCGTTAAAACCTTATTAGGAATATTCTAATGAAAGAAAAAATATATATAATCCAGTATAAAATCATGATTAACAAAAAATTGTAATGTGCATATATATGCTCCCCATAACAACATCAGTTCAACTCTTTTACTTGGCAAACTCTAGTTTTATGAACATTCAAATATTGTCATTGAGAGTGTTTTGGTGAACGAATCTTCTAGATTATCACTTGATGCATCTAATATTAGTATCATTTTCTTCATACATTGTCATGATAGTTTTCCCTGAAGATAATTCACAGCCATAAGTTGTTTATTGAATCACAAATTTTGACCTAGCATTTTATGACATGCCTCGTGAATTGCTAACTATGAAGTGTTATGCAGGATTAAATGGTGTGGCTATTATGATTTTTTTTTTTTTTTGGAATCTCCATGAAATACCTCTACCACCATAAGTAAACAAATAACTCATTTCGATCCTCATATTCAGTTACACAAAAGTACAAAATTATAAGTTCAACTTTATTCCGAAATCTTCTAGTGAGAGAAAAGTTTGCTAGCATAGTAACACCAAATGATATGTTTGGTGATGTATGGCTAGCAAGATATATTAATGTTAAGGATACCAATATAAGGTATTTCTCGACCTAATAAGTTACTTCTTTCCGAAGGTCTAAATGAATCTTTGTTTACTTTTACTGACCTTATGATCCTTCGCCTACTAAACGTGTGTCATTTGTTCACGCAAACCTTTTTTTATTTATTCAAAATTACCTTCATGATCCATAAAAAAGTTCTTCTTAAAATCTTTGTACTCAATGTCTTTATTTAAGCGACCAGTTGCTTTAGGAAGCTCTTATGGAATTAACCTTGGTAAAAAAAATGCTATTTAGACCTTAAATTAACCGAATTTTGAGACACGATCATATACACTAACCCTTGATAATTGAACTCTAGGTCTTAATTATCTAAATCATAGACCCTAAACACAAAGATGACACATATAATTTGTTGAATGTATTTCGATGAATCATGACCATCAGTTATCATTTCCAATTAAATTGATCTTAGCATATGAGATTTATAGAATTGAGACTTAGATTATAATTTTTAATGGTTAAGTATAATACTATGTCACCAACTCTGGCCAATTTAAAGTCTAGATATCTTTTTGTTACTCAAGGTATGTCCTACAATTGATTTTACTCAATGTACAATAGAACCATCCATGTAGATATACATATATGGTGGCTTCTATCATATTTAGGGTATGCATACTCTCGGTAAGAAAACGCTATATAGATCTCAAATTAAACGAATTTTAGGTATGTGACACCCATACTTTATGTGCGATAGAACTCTTCATAAATTAAAATATGCAAGTTATGCGAAATTACCAATATGTCCTCACAAACTTTTGAAGTTTTACAAAAGAGGAATTTGTAGAATTGGAAATGTAGAACTGAGAATGTAAAGTGGGGACTCTACCATCTAGTTCAATTGGGGGGAAAAAATTAAAGTGGAAGTTCGACATTATTTGTTTGATGAAAAAGTTGGTTTCACGATCAACAGGAGGCATCAACCTAGAGCTGATAACCGGTTGTCTGTTATTCTGTTAACCCGAAAATCGAATCGAAAACCGCAATTATTCGGCTAACCGCAAATCGATAATAGGGGTTGCGGTGTCGACCTCGGTTGTCTATTTGAGCCTTTTTTTTAACTAGCAACCGCCGGATGCTAACCGATGGAAAATCAGTGCACCGGAAGTAACTGCCACATAGAAATAAATAGCAGCTAACCGTCCCACTGCCTGCCCGCCAGTTACCAACCAAACCTTTCCCTCTCACTACCTCGTTGCTCTCTCCCCTTGTTCTTCCAATCTCATCTCTCTTCTTTGCCTGTCGGTGAGAAAGAGAGCCCGGTCTACCTCCATCCTCACCAATCGTCACCGCCAATCATCACCTTCAATCCGTGCCCTTCTCCTTGAGTGTTCCACGCGGCGGAGGATTCTATCGTCATTGAGTCAAGAGCTGCCACTGCCATGCCCTTCTACCGGAGACAGATGCAGCTTTCCCCACTCGGCCTCCTCCCTCTTCGTCTTTTTCCGTCTCATCGTCTGTCGTCCTTAGCCTCTTTCCTTTGCCATCGTTATTCGTCATCAGTCTCCTAGCTTCCTCGTTGTGCCTCCGGCGACAGATTCATATCCAAATCCTCCTCTCGACGTTCTCTCCCCTTCCTCCCTCATCTACCTCAATTCACGGCGAACTCATATCCGGATTCGACACCCACGTATGCTCGTTGTCGACCGTCATCTGGCTCCGATGGCTCTCTCTTCTTCCGCTACTGCAAGTTGAAAATTGGAATTTTCTGTCGACATGCATAGCGATGGCGGTGGTGTGTGTCGGTCTCGGAATAACAGTCGTTTGAACCAAAACTGACAGTTGCGGTTATCAGCTAACCGATAGTGGCATCGGCCTAGGTTGCAGTTGACGATGTTGCCTCTTTCTCGGTGTTGGCTAACCGCCTTTGAGGTGCTGTTAAACCGCAACGACTATCAGGACTACACCAACCCATTGGATAAAAAATACTGAAGCATCTGCCAAGGCACTCGAGTGGGAATGCTTTGAGCATATATGCAGGGAGATGATGTTTCCTAGATATCAGTTTAGATCAAACGAAACACGGAATGCTACTCGTAAAAGCTTGTAGAGCTGGGAAAGTGGGATTTCTGCTAATGTATAGTCTTTTACAATATTCCTTGCCTACCAGCATTATATTCTCCCTGAGGGATCGTTTGGATATGAAAATATGAAAACATGTGAATTTGTCACAATTTCCACATTCTACAAGGAATTTACATATGGAAATTGTTCAAAATCCCACGTTTGGAAAGAGTGTGTTTTCAGGGGAATTATTGGTGTAGAATTTCAAGAAAATACTACAATACCCTTTGTTATTTATATATAAAAGGAGTCCTTTACTCCTAACATCTGTGTTAATACTGCTGGCTATTGTTGCTACTAACTACCAAATAATAAGCCCTATGAAGAGAAGCATTCTTCCAAGTGATGACCCGAAGCAAAAGAGAACATATCTGCAACTTTTCAAAAACATCTGATTTGGTGTTCCTAAAGGAGGTTGGGAGAAACCCTAAATCTGAAATTGCAAGTTGGTTTAGACAAAGGAGAAAGAAGTAAAGTTGTGTGGGCGTGATTTATTGATTTTTGTAAGGGGAAGGTATCAATAGCAGGGGAAAACGAAAGGAAGATGAAGCATGAACAGAGTAGCATAATCCTAAACACTATGTTTGGGAGGGCTGGGGGAGCATTTTTTGGGTGCAAGTGTAGAAACCGAGGTATTTACCTTTGTTTGGATGATTTGCAACAAGGACAAGGGGGTACATTATGGGGGCAAATTAACTATTTGGGGTTGCACCCCAATTTGAAATAAATATATTATATTTCTTTTGCACACTCATATTTTTTTTCCCAAACAACAATTTGCACCCACTTTAAATTTGCTCCCCCTACAATTAACCCCTCAATTTGCACCCCTTCGAAATTGCACCCTCCTTGTTGCCAAATAGAGCGAAAAAGAAGATAGGGTTATTTCTTGGGTTTATGATAAAAAGGTAAGGGCATAACCGGAAAAAAATTGCTTTAAACGTGAGAATTGGAATTATGGGGGTGGGGGGCCGTATTTCTGAATTCCACATATGTGGTAATTGGCCCAATTTCCACAACCCAATTCCCACATTATTTTTTCATAAACAAACATGAAAATTGGACCCAATCTCGAGAGAGGATCCGGTGACTAAACATGGTGTTTAGTCACTTGACTAAGCCACTCCCAGTCTTTAGATATGAGCACATCAATCTAATGGTTAAAAAGTAGGAATGACTTTTTAATTAATAACAGTGGTAGTTTGGATATTATGAAAAATTACGAAGTATACAAACCTGACTTACAAACAGTACAAACCAAACATACGAACAATACAAACTAGAGCGACAAAACATACAAACAATACGAAATATACGAATTATACAAACAATTCAAACTAGACCGACAAACAATACAAACCATACAAAATGGGGAAAAAACAACCAGGTTCACTTTGGAGGCTCCATCCCTATATAGAGGGTTCCGTCTCAAAGTCAACCCGGTTGTTTTTCTTACATACAAGCATTACAAACATGGTTGGGAAAAATGACAAACTAGACCGACAAACACAAAATGAAAAAACACCCAGGTTGACTTTGGAGGCTCGATCTCTATATTGAAGAGTTTCATCCAAAAGTCAACCAGGTTGTTTTTTATACATAAAAAACATTACAAACATGGTGGACAAAAATAACAAAGCTTACAAACATTACAAAATAAACGGACAAATAGTACAAACCATGCTAACCTTACAAAATAGTCATATAAATATTACAAATATAATAGACATAAATGACAAAAATACAAACAGAATTGTCGGTAAACATTACAAACCAGACTTAAAAATATTACAAAATAGAACGACAATTATTACAAAAATACAATTGTCGTCGGAAAATCCCCTATCGTCGGAAAAATCTCGTCGACGCAGAAAAAGCTTTCTCTCTGGTGGATGGTGGGGTGGGGGGTGGGGGGTAGAATTCCCCAGGAAAAAACAAAAGCCTCCCCCGGGGAAAAGGACACGCCGGAGAAAAGGACCGTCGACGAATCAGGTTGCAGGCTGGCAACTACTGCCGTAGTAATTAGGTTATTTATTTATTTTAATAGATAAATAAAAATTAAATAATAATAAATTTATTTTAGTGTCCTTTATTAAATTGAATTAATTGGAGTTATTGAATTTTAATAAGATAGAAGAGCTGGGATTCACTTAGCCATGTGGCTAAGGGACCCCTTAGCCACCTAATCTTAGCTCCCAATCTCAGCATATTGTGGGAATTGAGCACAATTTCCACACCAAATTACCACATCCAAACGACCGTGAATGTTTTTCTCCTACTCTAGAGTCTAAACCATCTGATTTAACTAGGATTTTTTTCCTTTTTTCCTGGATGTATGAGTGAACTGAGATTCCATCATGGCAAGGGGGCATCTTTTGGAGTATGCATTTGGTGCGGTTTTGGATGCAGGAGAAATCCCTTCCCCACTGTACTTCATTGAACTGGCATGCCAAGCTGCAGGAGAGCAGAACTACGGTAAAGCCGTTAAATTTGCCAATACTGCAGTGTATGCAGCACTCCAGATCAGTGAAACCCATTGAAAGATATATTAAAGTCTTATGAACGTAAGATCAGCGTGGACAGTTTACACGAGCTTTTAGCTGCAATTAGTAATTGCCATCTTCCATGAGCTCTCTGTGGATATCAAACCTAGTTTAGGGTACAAACATATATTCTAGATCGTGAAAAACACACGCAGATTGGCATCCTCATGGTTTCAGACCTGCTTGTGACCAGAAATGATGATTTCTTCCTGATGTTTGTATTACTAAGATGGATGAAAGAAATGGGCAACTTTAGCTTCTATTTCCTGATTCTTTGAGGTCTGTCTCATGCCCTTCCAAATCACTACAAACTTAGTGTAAAAAAAAAATCTATATTCTTCAGAATCCCTGAGATCCAGATTCCCATTTTCCAAATGGTGACTATATCGTAGCAGATTTGATGTTGTTGCACCTTTGACATATACAACATTTACAGTACAAGACAACATGCCTGGCAGTCGAGATTTTGCTGCAACAATTACGAGGTTTACTATTTGTGCTAAAACACCTCTAGCACCCATCCAAAGGCATACTCCCTGTCATCTGCATGGAGAATGAGTCGACAATATATAGATCATAGATGGACACATGACAGCCTCCCATGTTTATCAGCTTTGATTCTCTATCTACATTATATATGACGAAATATCTTTCATGAAGATGGGGCAAGAGGGGGGATTAATTAATTACCAGCAGTGAGGTGCACAGAGTTTGAACGCTTTCAAAGCTGCTTTTGCAAAAACTTGTCGGGCTTCTGCTTCAGCTTCTGCTCTATCAGCCTCCCTAGAAGCCTCTTCGGCCTCAGCAATAGCAGCCTCGGCTTCTGTAACTGCCTTTGCTGCAGCATCAGCAGCCTCTTGGGCAGTCATACCTTGTATTCTCAATAGGCCTTCTTCAACTTGGGACTCGGTCACCATTTTGGAAGTGCCATTCTTCTCCAAGTTTGAAGTGTTCTTCTGATCTCCATCTATACGTGAAAGGGGAGTTCTTTTCTTTCCCCTTGATATAGGAGAACTTGGTACAATTCTGTACCTGTGCTTTACCTGTGTTGAATAATAGATCAAATACTCAAGAACCATATGCCAAATATATTATTCCAGAACAGCTTAATTGTTCATGTCACGTCACTCCCAAAATAATCACTACAATATTAGCAACAAACGACAGAGTAAAGAAAGAACATAACAATTACCTTGATCAAGTTTCCAGCAGCTGTTAAACGCTTTAGGTTTCCGGCCAATAGCTTTCTGAGTTTTGGAAGTGCCCAGTGTTTATCCTATAAATTGTAAGACTCAATGCATAATTGGAGCAGAAACATGCAAATCAAGGCAAGAGAAGGGAAAATCCTCAATTTATAAAAATATGATAAGCACTCAGACTAGTGAGAAAGGAATGAGGTTACCTCTATGTACATAGCAATTGAAGCCCCATCAGAACCACCTGGCTCCTTCAAAGTACTGATGGCCTCTAAAATCAAACTATCCAACCTAACATTATGGAGGGAACAGGTTCAGTGATTGAGTAAATCAAGTGTTTAATCACTACATAAATAAACTCTTAATATGAACATCCATAACCTTGCAGTAATGGAGATGTAAGCAACATAGGCTTTATTTCCAGATATTATGTTTGTTTTTTATAGCAAGCTATCACAAAATTCTCGGACGGGATCTGTTATAAATTCAATTTTCTGATTCTGGAATATATTCACCAATCATCCACATCATCCAAAGGAAAGTGACGTGCATATGATTCAAAACCTCAAATGAGGCTTTAACTAAATAAGAATTCAAGCCCGTATTAAAGAGAACCTATAGTGTCTTTTCAGTGTGATCTGCTTGTACATTGTCAGTCATAGTTTACCAAATTTCAACCTCAAGTGTAAGGAGCTGCCAATATATCATTAGTCTCCAGAAAACGATGAAGCAAATATTCAAATGTTCAGTCAGATTTCGTACTTTGGAAGTAGTTCCCTTGGACTCCCACTACGTCGTGATGTTGCAGCAGAAACTACAGCAAGAGGCTTGGCGTCGACAACTTCTTCATTGGAGCGTACTACAGTGGCCGGATGGCTAGAGCTCTGATCATTGTTACGTGTTTGCGGACTGCTCTTAAGTGCAAGCTTTGCCTTTTGCCTAGAACCCCAAATTGCTGTCACATTTATGTTTCTCCATTTATCCTGTCAACCATTATTAAAGCTTTACACTTTCAATCCGGCATTCAAACACAACCAAGGAAAACACACAAAAGAATCAGAAATAAAGAAAAGCAGACAAAAGAACTGCTTATTAAGGGCATGCGTCGTACATACTTTGAGATCAACATTAGAACGCAGCTGCAAGACTGCACTGAACTCCGGGTCCATAAGGATAGTGCGCCATTTACCAGTCCCATGCTTAACCACTCCGGCTTTAAGGGCGGCCTCTTCTTCAGCCGTCCACTTCTGCTTAGGAGCGCCCATCAAACCCAAATGCCCCTTTTCCTCCTCTTGGAAGAATCTATCTGCAAAGTCGAAAACTTTAATCTACTTACATCATAAACAAACAAACAAACAAACGAAGAAGAGGCATTCAGAGACGAACATGGGAACTGCATCTAGATCATCACCTAAAGAATCATTTCGCAAACAGAGAGAGAGAAAGAAAAGAAAGGGGGCAATGCCATGATCCAAAACCAGCAACTCAACCCTCAATTCAGCAAACACATGCAGATTCACCCAACCCAGTAACGAATTGCATGCAAATTGTCCGCAACCCAAATTTGCGCAATCAGAAACCGAATTCTCATATCACAATCATGAGAAATTCGACAAAACAATTTCCAGAAGTAAGGCACAGATCGCAGACCAAATTTGCAACGACGAGGGATTCCGACCAAGAAAATTGGATTGAACGAAATCAAACAATTGAAACAATCTAAAACAGTGTAGCGAGTAGCAAGTGATGTAGAACACGCATAAGGAAAAAAGGGGGTTTTCCAAAGAACGCCTCAATATTACAGTTGATTTCTTATGGTGGGTTGGGGCATGAAGAGTGTGTACCTCACAAACAGGCGAAGCAGCGGAGCGGCAGGGGAAATGTATAGAAGAAGAAGAAGGAATTCACAAAGGGATCATTTTAGGTGTGCGCGAAGGGAGACAACTGCTTGAAATTGGGGAATTTGGTGGCGAGTGGTGGTGGTGGCTCCCTCACTCGAAGAAATTGGAGAGATGAAATCGGGAAAACATTTCTACTGCGTTTGTTTCTGTATTTCCGGGGAGAGGAGAAAATAGAAGAAAAACGAAGGAGAAAGAAAAAAGCGAAATCGTGGGTCGCTCGCTCGCTCGCTCTCGCTCACTAATAATTTGTTTGTTTATGAGAATGCTCAGTAATAATTTTCACCGGGGAGGAGTTTTTATCCTTGTTATAAGAACCGAACCGGATCAACGGCCGGGCCAGTAGAACCGTCAAACCAGTTACGATAACGGTTCGGTTCATTGTTTGAATGGTTATTGATGGACCAAATGGTTTTTCACGGTTCAACATAAAATCAGATGAACCGACACGGTTTAACTGGTCCATTGGTTCACTATTTTAACGAAATTTTTTTTTAACATAAACTAAGACCATCAAATCATAATTATTTATTTTATATATGCTTCCTCAACCTTATTTTCGATTTTACATTGCCTACTACCAACTAGAACCGTAATTTTTAATTTGAATTAAAAAATATGGCTTCTTTTGTGAGATGGTTTGAATGATTTATTAGATATTTTCGTGATGATATGAATTTGAACTTGTTTATGGTCAATGATAATTTCATTCTTAAATTAGTGTAATATACAAGCCTTATATGTTATATATCATTAACGGTTGTACCAACGGTTCACCAATGGTTTTGTAACGGTTAACCAGTGAACCCTTAAACCACTAACTTTTCCGGTTCAGCCTCCGGTCCGGTTCTGAAAACAGAGATTTTTATAATGAATCACTATTTGCCGCCCGTCGTTTTATTATTTGCCGTCCATAATTAGGACAGAAAAGACAAAATTGCCCCTGCCCCTAACCCTATCTATCCAAACTCCCACCCCCACCCCCACCCCACCCCTCCCTGCCTGCCGCTGCACCCCCAACCCCCACCCCACCACTCTGCCGACCTTCCCCCAGCCGGCCGCCTTCCCCCTCCTCAAGCCGCCGCCGCCGCCGACTTCCCCCTCTGCTCGCAGTCGCTGCCCAGGAGTCGCTCGCAGTCGAGGTATTTTTTTTTTTAATACTGTCTCGGCGCCGTCCGCCTGGTCGGAGCGGACGCCGTCCGCCAGGTCGGAGCGGATTCCGTCCGCCCGGTCTAGTCGGACCCCGTCCGCACGGTCTGGTCGGACCCCGTCCGCCCGGTCTGGTCGGGCCGGTTGATTGAGTTTCTGATTCGGTTTGAATGGTTCGGTTTAAAGAAATATTTATTAGATTTATTTTAAATACAATTGTTAGTATATTAATTAGTTTAATATTGATAGTTCATTAATTTGTATATAATTGTTAATTGGAACATATAATGTGTTAGTTTATATATTGGGTAAGTTGAAATAATTATAATTGTTAATTAATTATATAATGCGTGAGTTTATTAATTGGGTAAGTTGAAATAATTATAATTGTTAATTAATTATATAATGCGTTAGTTTATTAATTGGGTAAGTTGAAATAATTATAATTGTTAATTAATTATATAATGTGTTAGTTTAAGTATTGGGTAAGTTGAAATAATTATTTGAATAACTATCTAGTTAAATTAATTAGTAATTGATAAATTAATTAGATAACCAAGTTGTATGTATCATAATTAGTAATTGATAAATTATGACTATGAAGAAATTGCTAATCTAATAATTTATTATAACAAATTAATTAAATTAAGTAGATAACATCAAACGAAATATTAAGTAGATAACAAATTGTATGTATCATAATTACTCTATGAACAACAAGTAACTGCTCAACAAATAATTTCCAATAAGATATTAATAGAAAATTATTGTCTATATTTAGAGATGGCGTCATCTGGTAATTCTGGAGGATCACGTAGTTCTGGAGGACCAGGAAAGAGATTGAAAAGATTCATTGGGCGTAACATTAGCGCTAGTGTGAGAAATAACCGAATGATAGAGATGAGCCACAGCCTCAGCCACAGCCACAGGTGACACCGATGAGATATAGGGCAGACGGTTTCCTCAGTTTGATTTTCGGATGCCTAGTACGGGTGGTAGTGGAGCTGGTCCCAGTATTGATCATCATACGTCACCGTTTGAGCCTTCAGACGAGATTGACGACGAGTCGGAGGAGTATGAGTCGGATGCTGTTGAGACACGTATTCCACGAGTCAGTCCGATCAGAGACAGAGGTGCCCCCAGCGTTGCGTCACCTGTCGTTACTGGGGTTCATGCTGTTACTGGGATCTATAGAGACCATGTGGGGCGTTTCTATAGAGCTCCACAGCCTGGTGAGGGCCAGAGTTCTACTGCTGATGTAGGAGAGGCCTGGGAGCCTAGAGGACCGTGTCCTGGAGGGCCGAGCGACCCGAGTTTGCTCCGTAGCTTTCTTGGGCATGTTGCCCACCGTCTGTACACGGGAGAGGCTGATAGAGGGGTGATCACTTGCTACGACAGGAGTGCGACCCTTTGTCACGTTCTCGGCGGTTATCAGATAGCAGATGATAACGCTAGGACTACCGTAGAGACATCGGGCCTTGCTCACCTCGTTGATATCACCTTCCAGAGCGAGCTGGACCATGCTCTCATCTCTGCATTTGTGGAGAGGTGGCAGCCGGATACTAACACCTTCCACATGCCGTTTGGAGAGATGACGATCCTCCTTCACGACGTGGCACACATTCTTGGGCTTGCGGTTGACGGAGAGGCGATGGTAGTGGATCCGAGGCAGTTGGAGAAGTTTGCACTGGAGGCTGACATCCGAGCACTACTGGGATTAGATCGTGACGAGGATGAGTACGGGGCGCAGGTTGGCGAGGTTGCTAGTCTGTCTAGGTGGTACAGAGGATTTGGTTTGTTGGGTGTGGGAGCTTTGACTCATTTGCAGCAGTCTGGTCCGCCAGCTAGAGAGGCTCAGTGTTACCTTCTTTTGCTGCTTGGGTCCACACTGTTCGTAGATAAGAGTAAGGACCGCGTTTCTGCTGTTGTGAACTTGTTTGTGAAGAGGCCGGATATGCTAGGAGAGTATGCGTGGGGGGCTGGAGCACTTGCTTATCTGTACAGGCAGGTTGGTATTGCCTCCCGGGCGGAGGCTAAGGGAGTGGCGGGTTGTCTGACTTTACTACAGTGTTGGATTTACGACCACTTTCCTACTTTGAGGCCTAGTCGGTTGGAGCCACGAGAGCTGGAGCAGGGGCAGGCAGGAGCATTCAGGTGGCGCGGTACAGCACCCCGGTCGAGTAAGAGGAGGGATGCACAGATGCTGGCTTATTATCGGCAGGCTATTGATAGTTTGACCCCTCAGTCAGTTAGTTGGACTCCGTATGGTCGTAGTCCTCATCTGACGGTGAGACGTACCTTGTACCAGGGCCTGCTCAGATTTGCAGAGATAGCAGAATATTATGATCCCACTAGGTGCCTCCGACAGTTAGGCTACGTGCAGGGTGTACCGTATCCACCGGAGCGTCCGCTTGTTGTGCGTCGACCTGCTTCCACGCTTGGATACTCTCTTAGCTACCAGTTTGTCTATGATTCGTATTGGAACAACTTGGGGGCGCATAGTGTGCATCTTGACCTTTTTTCTACTCAGATACGACGTAGGCCATGGGAGTTTGCTGAGAGTTACATGTCGTGGTACATTAGGCACTCGCACCCACATATACTGAGTGACAGCCGACCTGTTGATGACATCTCGGATGCTAATACGGTTAGTAAAATTATATTTTATATTATTTGTATTAAATTATTTATAACTAATATGTATTTAAATTGTATGGTTTTTTATTACAGTTGTCACGCGAGATGTGGGTTGAGATATCTCCCGTGATGGATGCTGCACAGGGTAGTAGGGAGGAGTGGATGGCTAGCGCGGACGAGTACTACGACTTATGTCATGGAGTTGGGAACATGTGGCCCGAGTTTAGGAGGAAGTCAGATTTTCTACCACCTCCACAGTAGTTGTATGATTATTATGTCATATGTATGAGTGTTATTTGTTGTTTTTAGACGAGTTGACTTATGTGTTCTACTACGACTTATGTTATGTGGTGTTCAGTTGCTTATTTGTTGTTTTGGGACTATGACTTATGTTATTTGTGTAATCTGATTATGACTTATGTGGTTTATGTTGTACTTTGGATGTTTTTATTATATCATGCTTCCATGTGACGTAAACAAACTTCATTACAATTTATTTAAATTGAAGACGTTCATTACAATTTATTTAAATTGAAGACGAGTACAAGTTTATTTCTTTTGACCCCTCTTTTTGCGTGATGGAAAGTTACTCGCCGCACCCCCAAGATCGAACCACATTTGACTAAACGGCGCGAAATATGTCTCCCATCCATCCACGCTTGCTTGGTGACCGTCTGGCCACATGCAATGTGGCGGGGGCATCGGTATCTTGTCCGCCGGGAAAGAGAGGTTGATCCAATGGTTCTGGACGAAATGCACAACAATGACTCCTCTAGGGTGGGCTTCCCCATATATGTTGTCCACTGGCAGAATGGTGCAGTTGTACGATTGTGGAGTTGGGTAGAAGTAATGGCTGTATATGACAACCGCCAAATTAAATAGTGTAGCAAATACGAATAGATCCACACCCATCATCCAATGATGTTGAGTCGTTGGTTCTGTAGTAGTGATGTCAATGCGTCTGATTGCATCATTGATGCCTTCACCGTAGATGGGTGCGTATCGCCAATCGTGCTCACGCATTTCTTCAGCAAGTCGTGTCCTCACCCCTGTGAACCCTTCTTGAGTACCATATAGTGCAAAACTAAGTGCACGAAACCCACAATGACCGTCTGGCGCCGGGTCGTGGATGGCAATGACAAGCGGCCGAATGAAGACAGGAAGCAGTTCCATGTGTTCGTAATCGGAATGGGCGCTGCTGGGTCCAGTATTATCTGTGAAGAAAATAGGTAATCAGCACAATTATATTTTAAAATATTAATATAAATAACTACACTTATGAAAAAAATTAAATTGTACCTGTGTCAAAGCAGTTGTATTTGTTGTTATCTTCTGGATCATCATGCTCCTCCACTGCATGGTCGTCTGACGGGTACTCGTCTGTCTGAGTCCCCGTGGACTTGGTACTGGTCGACTTTGTAGACCCCGACGTTGTGCTTCCCGACTTCTTTTTCATGCTTTTCTTATTGCCTCGCA